GCAATATTTTTGTCTGAGTGGGATGACAAGGATTACCTAATTATCTGACCAAAACAGTGAAAATCAATATATCAGAAAAATTGCAAAGGGAAGCCTGTTTAAGTTCTTTCTTCCCTCCTTGAAGGAAGATTGCAATTATGCTTAACTAGGCAGGAAGAGGGACTTTACTTTACTTTAATAAGATTTGTATGCCGCCCACTCCCATTGGGACTCTGGGCGGCTCACAACAAAGTAAAAACATTTAAAATAATAAAAATACAATGTTAAAAATTAATACAACATCCATACCATCAGGTGGGGCTGGAACTTAATCAATTGTACTTTCCCTGCTTGCTGTAATCTCTCACTGATGGGGAATCCAAGAGTTTTTGAGCTGTATCCAAGCAAACTATTATCCGGTAACTTAAATTTCCTCAAGTTACACTGCAGAAAAAGGATAATTTTCAGCAATACTGAAATGTTTTCCTACCTTCTGAATGGTGCTGCATTTCTGAAAACATTTTCCACCTCCTCAAGAGTCCCTTTAGCTACATCAGCCACGGTGATAAAACCAGCATTATAAAGAGCTCTAGCACACTGTGCATTTAGCAAAGATATCCGGACAAGATCACAGAGTTCTCTCTGAATTCCAAAGTTAAGGCGACTCTGAAACTGAGACAGCAATTGTTCCATGTTGTGCCATCCCAACCGGTTGCAGAAAATAGTAATCATCCCTGGAATATAGAAATATACATTAAAAATATAAATAGAAGAGGAAAAAGATTGAATCTGCCATTCCATATTAGTGAAGGGTCTGTCTGAAAATTCTCAGACTCTCTTGGTCTATGTTCTCTCACATGAAATAATCTGTGTTTAAATCATTGAGTTGGGCTGCATCAGCAAATGCAGCCCAACTCAAGTCAAGAAAAAAACTTTTAAAGCATTAAGCCACAAGAATGGATGCCTTTTGAACTTTCATATTTTCTGGCTATGCTAAGAATCAAATGATCTAAAAATAACTTATATACTGTGTTTATGTTCAATCATTACTAGCGTAACTCTTTATCTTCACATTTGTTTGTTTGTACCTGTTAATGAGTTCACCATTACTTTCTGCTTTGTAAATCCTCAACATATTTTTTCTATTTTTTTCTACAAGCATTCCTTGGGTTATGATGACATTTGAGACAAGAATTTGCATTGCCAATCAATGCCATCATCAAACATGTTCAGTAAATCTTGCTCAGTCACAGCTACAGGTATGTTGTGAACGGAACATTCTATCTTGATTTTGTTGTACAAATGGCCCTTGCCCTACTTTAATCTTTACCAGGGCTCCATAATGGAAGAATGAGAATGAATGTAATGAGGTAAGTGTTGTGGCCCAGCAGGAGCCNAATAGAATCATTACTGGAATGGAATAGTATAGAATAGGAAAAAGAATAGGATATGATAGAATAGAATAGAATAGGAATAGAATAGAATCATTACTGGAATGGAATAGTATAGAATAGGAAAAAGAACAGGAACAGGAATAGGAAATAGAATAGACTAGAATAAGTACAGTACAGTAGAGTACAGAGTTGGAAGGAACCTTAGAGGCCTTCTAGTCCAACCCTGTGCTTAGGCAGGAAATCCTAAACCCTGTACCATTTCAGACAAATGGTTATCCAATCCAGTCCAATCCAATCTAATCCATTCCATTTTCCCTTTGGATAACCCAATCTGAACATAGACTAGAGTTTCATTCTGACACTACTTCGACGGTTCCAATCCAAGGGAAGAAGAGAAGCCGCACCACTTTCCCAGTTGACTCCCCCATCCCCACCCCCGCCCATAATTTGCTCCAAACAAAAGTGTAGCTGGAGTTTAAACCCTGATGAAAGAAACTAAATCAAAACATGAACCGTTTCATCTGCGAATAGCTGGCAAAGAAAAGTTCCGTTTGCTCTTCCAACTTAAGAATTCTCTAATGTTTAAAAAGAATTCTCTAAGCATGGCGGGCATTAAAAGAGAGGCTTGGAGAAAGGGGAGGGGGTGGAAAGATCCTTCCTTCTTCCCATTTCTACCCTTTATAAACTGTTCCTCTGTTTGAAGTACATCATAAACCTTTCCCTTAAAAAGTTTAAGACGGACAAAGCCTGACCTTACATTATACCTTTGTGGTTAGAAACTTGGAGCGTGAGAGAAATCAAGTTCATCTCGACGTCGGCAAAGGGCTGCTTCAAGAAAAACATCACATACCTCCACCACGTCGCACACACGGTTCACGAGCTGAACAAAAAAAGCACAGAGCCAGCCTCGACAGCCCTTTGAAGTTAGCAAAACATTGTCCAGGCACGACGCACTCCTGAGAGTGTGGGATAGGGGTGTTTGAACCACATTTGCCCTGACATCACCTGTGGCTGGTCCATTGAGTAACTTCAACAATCTCCCTCTTCCTTCTCAAAAGATGAACCCCCCCCCAAACACACACCCAAGACAGACAACGCCTGTGACACCTCCTGTCCCAAATTCCTGGATCTAAGACGGTGAAGGCGAACTGCCGGATGTGACATGCAGAGCCATCCTTCCGAGGTGGGTAAGATGAGGACCCAGATTGTTGGGGGCAAGAGGCTGACTCTGTAAAGCACTTAGAGAGGGCTGTAAAGCACTGTGAAGCGATATATAAGTCTAAGTGCTGTTGCTATTGCTACTCCTTTCCTTCCTTCCTTCCTTCCTTCCTTCCTTCCTTCCTTCCTTCCTTCCTTCCT